TAAAAATAGCTTATTTCATAGCTTTATTATTGTTGTATTAAAATCTCTTAAGACTTTTCTTGTTATTGTGTTTGTCATGATTTATGAATATCTCACAATTTTCAGTTCAACTCAAATTTGTTGCATCAAATCACCACAGCAGGCAAAAGCCTACAGCAGGTGTTGAACTCTTTTACATCGTGGGTCACATACAGCCCACTTTGAGCTTAGTGGAACTCCCTGTTCTGCATAAAGAAGTTACATATTTTAACTGGTCTTAATGCTTAATTGCTTTCTGTATTATAACCCTTTTGTCCTCAGCAATGGAAATAGCTGAAAATCATTATTATCAAAATCAAAGCAACCCAACAAAACAGACAATGACGCTGAGCCTCCTTTAAAACATGTCTTCGCCTGACCATCATGACCTATACAGATGGTGGGAGTCTGATCTAACAGCAGTGTAAACACAGTTGGTGTGACTCTCTGCTCTTTTTCTTTTTATGCTACTCTTTGAGCAATCCACAAATAAGGATGGCCTAAAAACAAACACACAAACTAGCTACAGATTATAAAGATATCAATCTCAGATCCTATTTAAGAAAAAGGAAAAAACAAATCCAGTAAAGAGAAAAAGATTTGGCCCTTCATTTGATCTTCACACAGAAAAGGTAAACAGAGAGGGATCTTTTAACAGATACATAAACATATACAGAACTCGCTTCAACGGAAGACGCTCACAAAAATACAAAAGGAAACTAACAATATCAAACAAGAAACTATGAATGGGAAATATAGATAACAAACTAGGAAGAGCTAAACTGAAGGCCAGACTGTACAAAGCTTGAACCGAAATACAGTTAATCATGAATCCAAAACAAAACTTAAAACACGGTGTCAAAGACCCAGGACTGCGACAGTGTCATGGGTGAACGGTGACTCTCACTGTCAGAAGAACAGGTAAGGCCAGATTTAACAGCTACATCCATGGATGAAGGTTGTTGTGAGTGCTTTCGTCATGCTTTTACCAACCACTGAAGCTGTTTACTCAGAACAGATCTCACTATAAAATCACAAGTTACGTGTTAAAAACATTCAGGATCAGAAATCT